CACATCATGTGCTGTTCCAAGAATAGTGTTGCTTCAAGACAAACATCATTTACAATTATTATTTATTGCAGAGGGATTCCAAAGTCACCACCACAAGCTGGATTTGGATAATGTGTCCTCCTCCTCACACAAAYTAGCAAACTGTGGGTTCAAGCTTATTGGAAATAGGACTTAAGGAGTGTTATTTTTAAGCTCAAGCTTGAAATTTTACTTTGCAAGACTCTAGACAGAGTATCAAAATCACTTTTTTCAAGTAGTTCTCTGTTTAGTTTAATTTTCAGTAACCAGTGTGGCTGCAGCTGCTGGTGACTGGTACACATTCTGTCACAGGAACTGCTGTGTCAAAACACATATGTCTTTAATGGGGCTTTTGGCAAGCACGGCACTGATGTTATTATGGAGGTTGATCCAAATAAAACTAATAGTTTATTTCATGCTTTACAAATAGAAATCAATGCTTAGGATAAAAAAATGCAGTTTACACRCAGTAAAAATATTTACAGAGGTAAATCAGATAATAGGTGCAAAATAGTCATTATATCTTTATTGATGAAGTATGGACTAAAAGGACAGTGGCTGACAACTACACGCAGCTCAAAGAAAGGATATCTTTTCAAAAGGTAAATTAAATAAATGTGAAGATGTTGATGTTGCTGTCTGAATTTCCTGATTTCAAGGAGTGGGATTTCTAAGTCTTGTGCATGTGACAGCTTTAGTATAAAACTGCAGACTTACTTCATCTTTCRAATTAAACACGCTTGACTTAATTCTGGCAGCTGTTTGGCTCCAGTACAAGTTTCTCTTCTTTCAACTACAACCCAGAAGACACATCATAAAAGCACTTTTAAATATTATAAATTCCTGATTTAAAGGATTATTTGTAATGTCTCTTCTGCAGAATAAGATGAAATACTTTGTTAGATAAAGACATGCCTGGGGATTAGCAAACTGGACTGTACACAGCCAAACTGTGACAGATGCAAGCCATTTCAACACACTGTGCTGACCCAAAGTTAATGCTCATAATAATGGGTTGTGGATGGCCTCAAGTGAATAATTTTAACACAGYCCTTTTTCTACTCAGATTTTGACTATTCCTTCAGATTTCTATGAACCATTTCAGAGAAACTGACTGTGCAAAGTTCTTAGAGAGAATTAAAAGACATTGCAAAAGGATACGACATTAATGCATTTAAAGGGTCCCATTAATGTTTTATGCTCTTGGTGACTCAGGTGAGACTGCAGCAGGGTAAGGACCACACATAGCAGACACAGGGCTCTCTGCTCACCCTGTTACTCCTCGGTGTCCCTGCAACCTCTGATCTTCAGCACAGGGGACCAGACACTCCTTATCCTGCATCAAGATATGGCATTGCCTTCACAGACTCCATGGAGCACCAGGGAAAGCCTGGTGAGTTCAAATATGGCAGGAAGTATGTTTCTAGAGGGAACCCTGAGTTTATATGGCTGTGGTCTGGGGTTAGCTGATACAACTGTACATTGGCTAAAGCCCTAAATCAATTCTATAGAAATTTATAGGAGTTTACTCTCCACCCCAGCTGAAGCAAAAYACAGTCTTACCTTATTTTTAAGATGACACATGTTTATTTGCCATTGACTGTTTCAGTCTGAATCTTYATTCCACTGTGGGGTTTTAGCTATCCATGATACTTGAAAAGTCGTGACAGTCTGGTGAATTATCAGATGTCTGTAAAAGGGAAAACAYAGTACACATCTTTAAAAAGGATAAAAAGCAGGACCTGTCAGCCTCACCTCTGTGCCTGGGAAGATCATGGACCATATTCCTAGAAGCCATGCTAAGAAACATGGAGGACAGGGAGGTGATTTGGGACACCCAGCAGGGCTTCACTGAGGGCAAGTCCTGCCTGAYCAGCTCAGTGACTTTCTGCAATGGAGTGACTTCATCAGTTGAGAAGGGAAGGGCAACAGATGTCATTTTTCTGGTCATCTRTAAAATGGTCATCCACAACATCCTTCTCAATAAATGGAGAGACATGAATGTGATGGGTGGACTGTTAGATGGATAAGAAACTCATTGGACAGTCACATCCAGGAGAGGGGTGAATGGCTGAGTCCTGATGGACATCAGTGACRATTGGTGCTCTCTCAGGAGTCYGTATTGTGGCCAATTTATTTAATATCTTCATTAATGTCATAGATGAAGGAATGGAGTGCACCCTCAGCAAACAAGCAGATGACACCCAGCTGAGTGGTGCTGTTGGCACCCCTGAAGGATGGGATGCCATCCAGAGGGACCTGGACAAGCTCAAGTAGTAGACCATGGGAATCTCATATGGTTTAACAAAACTGAATGCAAGAGCAGCTCCCAGTAGCAGCCCAGCCTGAGAGCAGCCCTGACTGGAAGGATTTGGGGGTGCTGCTGGGTGAGAGCTGGACATGCCCCGGCCATGGCACTCCCAGCCCAGAGAGCCAAACGTGTCCTGGGCTGCACCCAGAGCACCRTGGGCAGCAGGGGAGGGAGGGGATTCTGCCCCTCTGCTCCGCTCTGCTGAGACCCACCTGGAGCATCCAGCCCTGGGGACCCTGCACAGGAAGGACAGGGACCTGCTGGAGCCAGTCCCAAAGTGGGTCCCCAAGCTGATTAAAAGTTGGTTGGAGYTCTGAGCTAGCTTGTCTAGTGCAAGGTGTCCCTGACTGTTACAGAGGTTGAAACCACGTGACTTTTAGGTCCCTTCCAGCCCAAACAATTCTACAATTCCATGACCCTGCAGACTACTGAGACTTTGAGATAACCGAAGAGCCCCATTTCATTTATTAAAGAAACTTTTGGGACTGATGAAATTTGCCTGTGAGAGTCTTGGTTTAATTTCTGTGAATGGAAAGAAACAGGACATAAATAGCCGATTTTTGAAGGCCTCAAAATCCACTGTGATGAAACAGGCAGACGGGGATACTCACATACTGTGAAATATGTGTGTGTTGTACATCAATGTGAGATGAACCTAATTCTGCAAGATTCTCTGACAAATTGGTTGTTGCTCTTTGAATTTCTTTGTGTTGTATGAACAGTTTCAGTCTTAACACCCACCACACCCACAACTGCACAATGACTGAGAAAGCAAACACTGGTTCACTTTCCAAGGACTTTCCTTGGGGTAAAATGAGTAGCTTGAGATTGTCGGGCTGCTTAGGTTAGGAAAGCAAAAGGATTCAGGTTCAATTGTGTTACGTGCCCATTGGGGGTAGGAAAAATATCCTATTTAATTYGTTCTGTAAAAGTACTCTGCTTTTAAGAACATTTATTACAATAATAAAGACAGTCTGCCACTTGGAAAATAAGCCAGCTATGGTTGTTAGAGAAAGTTCTTCATGAGAGATTTTAAGACAGATATTTTCATAGTTGGTCTCAACATAGCCTATCAAGATAATTTATGCAGGGGATCTCTTCAGATCTCTACCAGCTATGCATATCCAAGACACTTGGGAAACAATGTGTAGATAAATTGGGCATCGTCAGAGAAAGGATGTGTGTCGAAAGCATTTGTGCAGTGACTCACCATTGCACAAGGTAAGCATTTGAATGGTTATTTACTTTTGTTCTGTTTGTCCTTCAGATTTGTTAGTAGGGAGCTGGTACAAACTCGTAGGTTTCAGCTGCCTCACATTTTCTATCGGACAAGATTTCATGTTTGAAGAGCAATTTAATTATTTGCAAAATAGTTTCAATAATCTGCAGGTGAAAAGTCCACAAACTAAAGAMATCCCTTCTCCCCCACCTTTTGTTCAGAGTACACCGGGTTATAAACTGCAAAATTGGTTTTGCATCACAAAAAGATGATATCCAAAAGTAAATACCTTTTCCAAGGAGCAGTAATGCCCCTCAGGAGTTAGGTCCACACTACACTGTGATGCAACTGAGAGCTGCTAGCACAGATGCTGCTGAAAAGAAGAAAATCAAGGGTGTTAAATCTGATTGTTTCTGTWGAACAGTCTCTGTTTGGGTGTGTAGAACAGAGAATTCACGCATGTCTGTACTAGGTTTGCAGGTGAATTACATTGCCAATTAAATTGCAGCTGTGTTACATCCTGTTTCACACCCACATAACATCAGCTTTTTAAAGGRCAGTCTGGTTTATTTAACTGAGCAACAAAAACCTACCAGATTTTGGCAAGCAAATTCAATAGTGTCCTAGTAAATATGTGTATCAGATTAAAATTTATGTTCTTCATATAGTAGTCTTACCGAGAAAACAAAAATTAGAGATCACAGAAAATTAATATTACAGGCTTAGAAAATCAAATGACACAATATCATGAATACAGATAACCTTCTCACAATCTTTTGTCGAACTCTTTCTTTCATTCTAGCACCATTATYTCTCCTCTGTCTTTTGCTGTATTGTAAAATTTGATTCCTGGTCAGGAATGAAGTTGCTACCACCTTTATTTCTTTTGTGAGTGTTGTATCTAAACCCCCCGTATGTTTAAACATATGTATAACTCTTTACAACAGCCAAGTCTAGAAAAGGAGAATCTCTTCAATAAATTCAGCACCAGAACAGTGAAATTGTTTAGAATCTGTTCTTCAAACAYCACATCTTGTGCTATCTTTTCCTGGGTTTGATTTAAGACTATTTATAAAACTTTTCAAGACTATTTCAACAATTTAAAATACTTTATATGTATATAAAGTATTTGTATGCATATACATACAATCAAGGGTAAAGTTGGCACCACCCTTCCTGAGGAGTCTGGCCACAGAAATTTGTGAGTTTAATGATCAAATAATTGTATAAGCCTTACCAGTGACAGCAACAGAGGGTAACAGTGACAGCTGCACAATGAAAAGCTTTAATGAGAAATGATCATATGTGCTCCCACTGAAGACTGGTATCTTAAACCCAATTAAATACTAAACAAGCTGCAGCTTAAGGTAACTTTCTATGCCTGAAGTATATGATTGAGGGAGAAGGTGCTCCCCAAGTTCACCTGAAATAATATCAAATCACCTAAAGTAAATGTAAAATTAGGGACTTAATCCTACACTACCTCAAAGCTGATGTAAAGGCTTCTGAAGTCTTTTATCTTGTACTGAGTGAACTTGAGTGAACTTGGGTTATGTAGAAGAAGCTGAGTTGAGTTTTGCTCTGACAGCAGTYCCACTGGGTATGATTTACAGCTTTGGCTCATTAGGACCTGCTTCTGAACTAATAATCAGAGCAGGGGATTAATTTTCTTTAAAGAAACCCTACATGTTTCTGGGGAAAAAAAATGAAGTTTATCTCATTGCCATGTTTCAAAGGAAGCTAAATAGCTATAGCTGAGAGGAAGGGTCCGTGTGGATGCCTTGAAAATATAGACAGTGGGAAAAAAAAAAAGAGCAGAAAAAAAAGCACTCTAAATGTTCTAAGCATTGTTCCAGTTGCAACATCAGTTGAGGGGGTGGAGGAAGTCCCTCCAGGATGCAAATTATTCACACAAATATGTGACATTTGGTCAGAGCAAATCAAAACCAGGTCAATTGATTACAAGGGGACAACTACTGTTCAGACTTCTACTCTGCTGAAAAGAAATGGAATAGTTTGCTCTGTTTCTCATAGTATGTACAATGGGATTCAAATCAGGGCCCAAATGGGAGCACAGTGAGACACTCAAATCATTCCATCCTCTCACAACACAGATAAAAATTAAATGGAGATATGTTTCTGCATGAATCATTCATATAGAAACATTGATTATCATTCATCATGCCATGCTGTCTTACATCCTAACAGACGGAAAAGGCAGGGGCATACCACTGTCCCAGATGCTCAATCAGAAACACTCAGAGGCCAGGGATACCTGGGTAGAGTCTCTCTCATCTCAGTCAGTTGTTTTCATTTCCACATCACAGCCACAAGATCACCCTTATCCCAGCATCACAGAGGGCTGTGAGCAGCACGGCTTCTCTGCTCCCCTCAGYCCTTCTCACCATGATGGGCACTTCAGCCCTAAAGAAATCAGCCCTTTTCTAAACACCCCCAGAGATCCCTTTGACCATTCAAAGAGGTGAAGATTAATGAGCTGGGGACTTCTGAGATGTATGGGGGGCAGACATCTGAGGAGAGCCAGAGAGCATGGCTCTCATGCTACATGAACTGTATCTGCTATGTTTCCCCCACAGAAGGAGCTAAAGACAGGAAGGGCAGTGATAGCCTCAGGACCACACTGTACAGAGACAAGGACCATCTGTGACCCAGGTGAAGCTGACACTCTCTCCTGCAGGAGYCCTCTGGCACTCAGCAATCTGGGCTTGGCCAGGACAGGAAGGAGAATTAGTCTCATTTGTTTGGCTCTAGACCATGTTAGAATAAATAGCTGCTCAGCATCAGAGCTGAAGTACAGATGTGCATCTGCCAGTTTGTTATACAAATCTGTTTCTCTTTTCTTGTTTTGAATACAAACCAAAACCTCCAGGAAGGAAAGATAAAGATTACCCTAAAAAGAAGAAAAAAATAAAATCTATCTGTGACCTTCATGGCATATGGTTTGGTCTCTGAAAAACAAACAGCTCTATGAGCAACAGCAGCACAGATGAAACTTGATTCCCTTCAGTTCTGTGTCCCAGCGTTGCTTGGTAATGCCCTGACTCCAGTTCTTCTCCACAGCCTTTATTTATATTCATTTTGCTTCCTGGTGCAAGATGCAGGCTGTGACACGGTGAGGCTGGAGCCAAGCAGGACATGTCGTCTGCACAGCCAGCACAGCTCTGTGGCTGCACAGGGCTGGCTACCAGGGCCTTTAAATCCCAAAGGCTAAACAGTCCATGAAAGTGGAAACAGCAGCAGCACCAACTCAAATTAACTCAATTCCCCTGGAAAATAGAACACRAGCTGCTGCTTCCTCTGCAGGACATGTCCCTGTCGTGCTAACAGTGAGTGACAGAGTTTTAACTGCCCCYCAGGAGTCTCATGAATCGCCACAGCTGTGTCACAGAATTTTGCCCGGCAGAGTTTTCTATTGGGAATCACACTTGCCTTTAACATACCTGGGTATAGAAGGCTTATACTTACTGATCATTGGCATTGAAATAATTATTTTATACACAATGATTCACTATGCAAAATAGTGCAGATGGTTTCACATTGCTTCATTCATGAAGAATAATCTAATATGTACACACACACACCAATTAAACTTGAACACAGCAATTCAGAGATAGTTAAGATGATTATGGGAGCAAAGGAAATTTTCACTCTAAAATCCCCATTTTAAATTTGGCTCAGTGCTGGTTTATGCTGAGCCATGACTGTTCAGTCTTTGAAGTGATACAGTATTTCTCAGCCTGTTTAGGAAGAAAACTAAGACATAAGATCTGTTGTTTTCCTTTTGAAATCTGTAAATATGAGCTTGGTAGTTTTATACCATCCGCTGCATTTGACATGCTGTTGATGTCAGAAGCAACGTCAAAGGATAAATACATATGAATATAAGATCTCAATCTCACAATTCTTAGACAGACATAAAAAAAAAACTAAAATCATCTTTTTTCTAAGGGGAAAATCAGAAACTTACTCTACTACCACTGCAACTAAAAATGCCATGAGCTTTTATCTTGCTTTAAATTTTGTCCGAAATTTGAATGGCATTGGACAACAAAGAGAAAGCAGGAGATGAACAGATGGAGCAGCCCTGCTCAGAAGGACTCAGGGGTGCTGGGGGTGAGAGCTGGACATGCCCCGGCCATGGCACTCACAGCCCAGAGAGCCAAACGTGTCCTGGGCTGCACCCAGAGCACCGTGGGCAGCAGGGGAGGGAGGGGATTCTGCCCCTCTGCTCCGCTCTGCTGAGACCCACCTGGAGCATCCAGCCCTGGGGACCCTGCACAGGAGGGACAGGGACCTGCTGGAGTGAGTGCAGAGGAGGGACACCACAATGAACAGAGGGATGGAGCACCTTTCTTGAGAGGAGATGGTGAGACTGTTGGGTTTGTTCATCCTGGAAAAGTCTTAGAGGTAATTGCAGCTTTGCAGTACCTGAAGGGGTTGCACAAAATGATGGAGATAATTTTTTTCAAGAGCATTTAGTGACAGGACAAGGGGAAATKGATTTAAACTGAAAGAATATGTTAATATTTTAAGAATAAATTTTCTACTTGGAGAGTGGTGAAGCACTGAACCAGAGAATCTGTGAATGTCGCATCCTTGAAAGTGTTCAAGGCCAGGCTGGATGGGGCTTTGAACAACCTGGTGTAGGGGAAGGTGTTCCTGTCCATGGTTTTAGATTCTATAAAATGTCAGTCAGATTACTATGTTCAGCATTGTTTATAATGAAAATGAACAAGAAAKATCAAGTTTCTTGATGAAAAAGAGCTCAGTATGAGGGAAAAAGGGTTATGTAAAAGAAATATTTTCCAGATCAAGCTGAAGTACTAGTTCCATAGAGTTTGTTGAACACGGGGGCTGAATAAAAAATGGTTACTCAGTTTATAATCATAGTCACTGTTTTCTAAACTAATACAGTGATATATGCTCTTACACTTTGGCATTTGCTGCCTGGCTGAGTGGCTAGTGAAAAATCACTGTCTCCATGYACTGTGAAAGAGAAATCTGTACCAAACTTCAGAGGAAACAAGCCAGTGAGTTTAGTAGAACCCAGACAAGAGAGATACCTGATTTCTTCCACTGGCTGCTTTCAAATGACTCACATAAATCTATTTTAGAAGCATCCTGGTTTGGAGAAATTTAATATTTGATATCTRTCATGCAACTACTCTGAGAACAATTTTAAAGATACCGAAAATATAGAATCATTGTGGTTGTTTAGCTGGTTTGAAAGAAGGGTTTTCAACTGAACTCAGAGACTCAAACACTCCAGAGTAAGCTGCTTCACTTTTTTTTTTTTTTTTTTTTTTTTTTTTTTTTTTTTTTTTTTTTTTTTTTTTTTTTATGAAA